CCGGAGGGGTTAGTGTGGCAGCCACAATCAGGGAAGAAGATGTCCCGAAGGGGTTAGTGCGGCAGCCACAATCATCTAATTTAATGCACCCTGAATGTTCCAGGATGGTGCAGAGGCAGTGAGATGTATCTGCTGGTACAAGGCACTCCAATTCTGCTAGGAAGCCCAGGGGTCAAGTGCAGTCCCCGAATGTCTTCTAAGCAAAGGAACCCTGTGCATGGGTTGCCTCTCAGATATCTAGCCCGAGAGATTCATCTCAGGAAGGAAGCAAAAGTCAGCCCATGGCGTTTTCCCAAGTTCTCACTGACCCTAAATCGGATGAAAATAACAGGATAGCAAAATGTATGCTGATACTGGCAATTTCTCCACGGGGAGTGAACATTACAGCACAAAAACTGTAAGTCACATAGGCTATGGTTCTGGGTGGGTTTCCTCTTTAGTTTTGGTGAATACTAAGTTATTTTTTAAAACTCAAGAAATCTAATACCATGATAGGGGGGTAGGGAAGTAGCTGGGTTAGTAGATTGCTTGCCTCATGTGAACAAAATCCTGGATTTGATTCCCAGCATCTCGTGAAGCACCTCTAACCCCAGCACTCCAGGCAGGAGAGTCGGACGTTAGAAGTCATCCTTGGCAACATAGTGAGTTCCAGACTAACCCAGACTGTATGAGACCCTGTGCCATTAAAAAATGATGACCCTCAGAGTATCATTAATCTTGTCTGTAATGAATGATAAGGCTGAACAAAGTCCATGGCAATTAAAGCCTGACTCTTGGATAACATAGAATGAAGAAGTGAATTTACTAAATCTACAGCAAACGGGGGGGGAGGGGCGGGGTGGACTAAAACAGGGAAGAGCAGAACCCAACAAGGGAAGCCCCAGGCACCAAGACAGTCGGCAGCTGTGACTGACAAATAGAGGGTCCCCAGCAACCGTGTTCTGCTGGGGGAGACTTCTAATTAGCCGTTCTCACCACGGGAAGTTCTTCACATCTTCTGGAAGATTGTATTTTTTATTTTTTATGTGTGTATAGGTGTGTGTTTCTGTAGTGTGTGGGGGTCCTCTTGGAGACGAGAAGAGAACAGCAAAATCCCCAAAGCTGGAGTTACAGGCAGTTGTGAGCCACCTAGCATGGGTCCCGGGGACTGAACACAGACCCTCTGCCAGAGCAGGGAACACTCACTCTTAGCCATTGCGCCGTCTCTCCAGCCCCCGACCACAGGCATTCTGATGTCATGAGAGAAACTGAATGGCTGAATCTTTGGCTCTGGGAGGGGCCTGGAAATGTGCATCCCCCAGCTGTGTTCAAGGCCAACATCCTCTCTAATGACACGCCTTCCTTCTGCTCTTAAGAACGTGGTGTCTTCACCTTGGATCCTTTTGCCATTTTCTGCTCCCTTTCTCAGAGGGTCAGGGGCCAGCGCATCATTGACAAGGAATCTTGGAGAACACACTAAGATAATCATGCCTGCGCCTGTAATTGGGGCTCCAGAACCAGTTTCTGGGGAGCTTAAAGTGTGCATGCCAGTTTGCTAATTCACATTGTTGTCTTCTGTTTTAGCCTTACACAGGGAAAGAGTGAACATCCAGAGATGAGGAAGAAAGAGTTCCTTCTCTGAGAACAGGAAGGAGAGGAAGAGGGGCTCTGAGCACACCCGTGGCGGCACCACACACCCGTGGCGGCACCACACACCCGTGGCGGCATTACACACCCATGGCGGCGTTACACACCCGTGGCGGCACCACACACCCGTGGCGGCGTTACACACCCGTGGCGGCATTACACACCCTTGGTGGCACTACATACCATCTGCAGTGGCATTCTCCCTCTGTGGTGGAGGTACTGCTGCCCTTTCAGGGGGACTCCTGTTCTTCTACTCTCACGTGAACAGACATCAGCGGTGCTGAAGTAGGGTTGAGCACCGTGGCCAGGACACCGCCTCCCGAGTATCACATCCTGTCCATGACAGGACATGCGCTGAGTCTCCAGGGGAAAGATGCTCGCAAAGGCTTGGGTTTGCTCTTCCTTTACTCAGAAAGAAAGAAAGAAAGAAAGAAAGAAAGAAAGAAAGAAAGAAAGAAAGAAAGAAAGAAAGAAAGAAAGAAAGAAAGA